GCCCCTTAATGCTACTGTGCATCATATGGTAATTGTAGAGAACCGGGAATCTTTTTTCCCCAAAAAGAGTCACCCTATCTCAATCCTCAGGGTTAACAACAGATCTAAATTTGTATTGTTATTTGAGAATACATGATTATTTCATATGGCTTTGCCATGGCAGCCACTTACATCAAGTGGGCTGTGTGTTTTTTTGTTACCCTTACTCTATTGTAGAAATAGGCCTCTTCAGTTTTAGGGAGGATTTATTTCAATTGTCTTCCTTGGCAATTTTCAGGTTTGACAAGGTTTTGAGCTAATTTTATCCAGCAAATTTCTGTCTTACTTACCATAACATCACTCCATCTAGTAAAGGGCCGCTATTACCACAGGCTAAGAAGAACATATAGTCAGCCATCGCGTTTGGTGTTTTCGGAAAAGCCGATATAAACAATAAATTGCTAGGGTGATCGGAACGGGAGGTAATAAAAAATTAATAATTCTGATTTTATTTTATTTCACATTTAAACAAATTAATGTGTTTTGTGGAAACTGATGAAACTAATTTCTTATCTTTAAATGAGGACGGTCAAAAGTTTTTTACCGCGCGTGTAATGTAAAACATTTTAATTTAGTTGCGTGACATGACAACCCTAGCGAACACTTCCATAATGGCCCTTAGCCGGCTGGGAACTGTCCGCTTGGATTCAGTGCTCAGCCCGCGTCTCGCCCCGCACTGCACCGCGCAATTGTCCTGTCTAGACGTCTTCGATGACCGACTGTTAGTAGTAGTTAGACTGTGCTTATAATGTTCATGAGGAAATGCCTATGTATTCTTCATTCTGCCTTGACTTCAGCTTACTGATCCGTTTCCAACCTCGGTTGGTCGAATTGAATTAATTAACATTTGATGCAATTACAAGTTAAACTACTTTATTAGTTCCTTGCATATAACTGAATAAGGCCGTTATCTAAGTGTGTACAAGATAAAGCGCAAGTTTCCGGAAATTGGCCAGGAGGGATTAATCCGAGACAATAGGCGGGTGAAACTCTGTGGGTGGCGTGATAAGCGATACAGGGATGATTGGCTGAAATGCAAACCGTATTAATTATGCTTTTAAATTGCAAGCTGGCCTGTTCAGTTATATTTTATTTTAGAATTAGTTCAATTACATACGGATGAATTGTTTTCATTTTGATAAAAATAAATTAATTTATTATTTTCGGCCAATGACATAATTGATTATAATCAATAAAGTCATTGGCCTTTAAAAAAAATTGAGTATCGGCAGAGTGTATACAATGAACTTCACGTCACAAATTCCCTTTAACTCGATAGATTATGGGAAAAACAGTATTTTAACGCGTTAGGTAGTGACCTATGATATAAAGTTTAACTCAATTGATTCTTTTACTAGAACTAAAGGTAGATCGAAACTAGCTACAGTGCCGGTGGGGAGGTGGCTAGCGCTGCTAATCAATATTAGCGCTGTCAGTGATTACTTTTTTAATGTATGTATGTATATTATATTATTATAATAATCTTACGCTTCATTTGCACCATGTTCTTCTTCATCAGCCCGTAAAAGTTTAATGCTGGCCATGGACTTCTCCCGCTACAGAGAGAATTCATCTTAATCATCACGCTTCGCAGGCGGACTGACGATTGTAGTATCAGACGTTTGCAACTTCGACTCTGCTCTCTGTTATAGATCCGGATATTTTACTTCTATCTTCTAAATAGTTATATTAATATTTTAAACTAATAAAGGTTGATTTTTAACCCTCTTCAAAAAGGAGGAGCTAATCAATTTGATCATCCTAACTTTTTTCTAGGTGAACCGATTCGGATGATTCTTTTTTTATTTGAACGCTGGACCTTCAAGGTCTGATCAGTAATTTTTGGGTTATCCTATATAATTTATATTGACGTCTTTTGTACAACATATTTAATTTTACAAGTTGTTTTGAAGCCTTGAGGCCTATCCAATAAATAAAGTAGTATTGAAATCGGTTTCCAAGTGTCGAAGATATCACCTAACATGTATATCTACCTATACATATTAATATAATTGAAATGTCTGTATTTAATGTTGAAATAACTGGCTTATATTAAGCTCAGGGGATTATTTGCATCCTAATAAGACATAAAGTTAAAGTTACAGACTATATACGTCTCACTGCTTCGCACGTGGCTCCTCTTATTTTTAAGAGTGTTATTTAGACCTAAGTAACCATTTTTTATATAATTTTGTATGTCTGGCTGTTTGTGTGTCCGGGCTAATCTTGGGAATGGCTGAAACGATTGTGGTGAAACTTTACGAATAAAAAGATAGAAATAAATGCTAGGGGGGATCTGGGGTATATTTTATTTATATACTCGATTAAAAAAGATGAAAAATTTATAAAATAAATGCTTCTTTGGATATTGCAAATCTAAATAATGTTACATGTATATATTATATGTAGGCAAAGCCTTGGCAGGTCGCTAGTACAATATAAATAAGTCGAACTGAGAACCTCTCCCTTTTTTTGAAGTCGGCTAAAAGTCACCCCGGATCATCACTAATCATGTTTGGGTTTTAAATAAGAAAAAGATAAATGATATTATTCATTTAATATCATACATATAAACATTGAATACATCTAAAGCATTGTGTGCCTTAAATATTATGTTACATATTTTTTACCCGCTGCTCATTAACAAGTTTTGTATATTTTTAAGAGTGATGTTGATAATCGATTAATTAATATGTTATTATTATATTGTTAGTTATAAAGAATTTGCTATTCATACGTACTTATTATGAAATGTGTAAGATCTACATATTTATTCTTTTTTTAAGTGAAAACTTCTTTAGAATTGTTGCGATTTGAAACTCGATGAAACGAAAAGCGCCACTAAAAATAGACAAACATATACATCTATAGGACTTATCCTGCAAGAGAATGAGATAAAATACAATATAGTAAGTGACAGTAGCCTTATGGCAGGGTGCGGACCGGAACTCAAAAGGTTGTGGGTTCTTTTTTATTATTTTTATTTTAATGTACTTTTTTATTCACATAGGCTCACTTACAAGCTCTCAAATTCAAAAGAAAACAATAAATATTTTTTAACAAATTGCTCGAAGAAGGTAGGGTCAAGAGTACTCGGATACCTAGACGTGCATGCATGAAGAAGATAATGAATCTGAAAGAAGCGAAAGAGGTTTGTAAGGATCGTGACACTTGGCGATCTGTTCTCTCTGGCTACCCCGTCAGGGATTGTGCGTGAAGATAAGTAAGTAAGTAAGTAATAAATTTTACCGGATAACAATTTCAATCAATGTCAATTTCAATTAAAACACATATTAACAAATTATAACAGATAACAATTTTAATCTACTAATAATATGACTAATAATCATATAATACTAAAATAACATGAAATTGTGTAAATTATTCGGTGTGGAACTATTTTTCGCCAATTTCGTTCGATTCGTTCAATTCTCCGTTCGACTACTTTCGTGAAAAACTTCTAACACAAGCATTTTCTGCTTAACAGTAGTGATGAAAGGGTATATCAGAAATGTTAATGGCATTGCTTTGCATACAGTGTTTCCAATTATCTTGGTCTCCTCTTTGTGCGGTGCTTTAGAGGTAGTTAATATAAATTTTAACTGTTAAAAATAAATTAACAATATAAAAAATTACCAAATTGATGTAATAAATAAAATTAACTATTTTTACCACCATTATATTATAACCATTAATAAATATAATTCATATTAATCCAGTCATAAATCAATCAGTTCATAACTTCAGGCCATCTAGCGTCTATTTTAAGTATCACCTATCAATCAATTTTTGTTCGATAAAATGACTTTACCTACAGAATAACGTACATAGCGCTAATACAAAGCAGTTATAAACGATAAAATATATTATTTTGATTTATAACACTAAAATTTACTAATAAAAATAAGAATTACAGGATTAAACTTTCATCTTAAATTTTATGCCGAAATTGTGGTAAAATTTTTCTAATTAAATAAATCATTTAACGTGATATATTTCTATTTTCCGCTACCCGACGCCTTGCTGCCGCAGAATAAATAATTGTGAAAATATATTAAAGGAAGATTTATATTATTTAAATAGAAATGATACTAAATTCATAGAAATAGAAGTATATATAACTTTAAAATTAATTTGTAAGTACGATACACGCGCCACCTACTGTAAATTAATTGCACTATATCTTCGCGGAAGTGCAAGCAATATGCTCACAAAGTTTAACCGCAATCAGATGAGCGTTGTGGCAGTGCATAAAATACGCATATTCGATTATTTATAAAATCGAATATCAGCATCACTAATTAAAATCACTAGTATTACAATAAAATAGTAAGAAAAGAAACTGAAAACATATCAGGAACCGAATGTGTAATAATATTTTAAACATATTCAATTTTTAAAAATATATATATTTTATTTATTTAAAGGAACAAAATGTATCTACAAGTAAGTACGACTTGGCTATATTTATAAAACCGAAATTAACCTATCCAGTGCCTTTGAAGAAGATTTACATAAAATTTCAAAAGTCCATTCGATCTTCTCCAAAACCTATTTTTGAATTGTCAAAATTTGATATTATAATTATTTGGAAATCTTAAATCGTAACAAAACTTATGCAATTTTAATAATATTTAATTTGTCTATGTTATTTCAGTATTTCACAAGCACTAATGAGCAGCCAGTTTCATTAAAAAAAAAAAAAAAACAAATGTAAATGACTGTCATGCTTTAAAACTGCTTCTAAATTCAAAATCATCAGGTAAAACATTTATTTCAACATTTGAAGAACGGCTTATTATGAAAGAGTATTATTTTTCAAAATATTTCATTGCTATAATTTAATACAATTTTAATAATATTACAATGATTTTTAATTTAATACAAAAAATCTTGCTTAATTAAACTAGATTGAATGGAACTGAACATTTGACTCGTTATAATTCACCCTTAAACACTAACTAATAAGTCTTTATTAAATGGTCAGACACAAAAGGAACGAAAGACTCCGGTTCTTTTATTTTCTTCTTTTTATGAAGACGACAGCTCTTGTGCTTGTGACCCGTTTCTGATTTATTTTGAATCGGCTTATATTGTGCCGAAAGAGAAACGCCCTCCTTATCACTATGTAATATGTTTTTTTGGCAGCTGTTCTCTGTAGACGCTTTCTCTACATCGTTCATAGCATTTTGTTTTGAAACGCTTTGAATGTCATATTTGTATAAGAACGTTCTAGTGTTCTCCTTTACCGCGTTATTTATTTTGTAGACATCTGACGATACTTCAAACTTACTGTGGTGGAGGCAAGTTGACGTTACCTAGAACAAAAGATTTCTTTATTGCTTATTATTACTGGTATAAACACAAACGTAATAAATGACTACTTTTAAAAATAATTCAATATTCTTCTTTTTAAAGTAGAGACATCATAGACGTACAAAGAACTTGACGTTACAATTTCCCTTTCATTCGATAGATCATGGGAAAACAGTATTTTAACGCTTTTGGTAGCGATATATTATAAAAAGTTTAACTCATATGATTCTTTTACTAGAACTAAAGGTAGATCAAAACTAGCTACAGTGCCGGTGGGGTGGTAGCTGGCGCTGCTAATCAATATTCGCCGTCAATGATTACTTTCTTAATATACTCGTATGTATGTCACGATATTATTATAATAATCTTACGCTTATTTTCATCATCTTCTTCTTCATCAGCCCGTAAAAGTTTAATGCTGGATATGGACTTCTCCAGTTACAGAGATAATTTGTCTTATTGATCACGCTTGGCAGACGGACTGACGTTTGTATTACCAGACCTTCGCAACTGCGATTCTGCTCTCTGTTATAGATCCGAATATTTTACGCCTGGCGTAAACGAAATGGTTATACAGTCATCTAGACTTTTCGTAATATGTGATAGAACTATACCGCAGCTATATTATACGTGGTAGAGCCATGCTGCAGCTATATTAATAGTATAGTTGTAGCACGAATGGGTCGGCTCGACTGGGCAAGGATCACGCTCTCACAGAATACTAACGTAAAATAGCAGCTTAATGCTGCTATGTTTCGTATGGTGAGTGTAGAGAACCGGAGTACCTTTTTACTAGAAAAGAGGCATTCCATCTTAGTCCTCACGCGTGAGAACGCATCTGCATTTTGTTTCGCAAATGAGGATAAATGTAGATGTCTATGGGCCACAGCAACCACTTACCATCAGGTGGACTGTGTGCTCGTTTGTCACCCTATCCTATAAAAAATATATTAGATTTGCAACACGAATGGGTTAGTCAACCGGCGAAGGCAACTCTCACAGAATACCAGCGTAAAATCGCATCTTAATACTGCTATGTTTCGTATGGTGATTGTAGGCAACCGGAAATTCTTTTTACTGCAAGTGAGGCATCTTAGTCCTCAGATGTGACACATCTGCATTTTGATTCTTTATATAGAGACTCAAAATGCAGATGCGTAAGAATAGATTTAGATGTCTATGAGCTACAGGATTCACCTACCATCAGGTGGACTTGTGCGTTTGACACACTTATTCTATAAAAAGAAATTCGTAGCTACAAAAATATTTCACACATAACTTACCAAAGGAGCGCGAGCGTATTTAGCTGCGCGATCGGCCAGCTCGTTGCGTAGGCGCCATGTGCGAGTGACCGCCCAGCGACGCGCCGCGGTTACTTCGTCTCCTCGCGCAGTCTGCCATCTTGAAGACATGTAAACTTGATATTGTCAACTTCTATGTATACTACTTACTAGACCGGCACTACGGTTTTAATTCATTGCGCACTAAATTTCGCTCAATTCTTCGTAACATCTTCGACGCGAGCGGGAGGTAAGACTTATTTGTTTTGTAAACAAAGTACGTTGTTTTCGACAATCTAGACAAACTAACACTGATTTTGTTTAATGTGACTAAAAAAATGTTGTCTTTGTTATGAGCTAATTTTGTCAATGTATTTTGTAGATCATTTCTGATAAGTGAGTAGTTTCATTTTATGTATGCCTAAATAGTCTGAGAGCTGGCGACGAATTTTGGGAAGTTCCTTTCGCAAGTTGTAATTGTGAAAAAATATAATTTCGTCAATTGGCGAGCCAGTGAGTATGGCAGAGCGTTTGCGGTTATTTCGTTACTGCGCAGAATATAACATTTGCAAACAAAATATCTAAAAAAAATGTCTTTTTGGCAACTTGATTTTTTTATCTTTTAATTAAGTGTTTATATAATTGAAAAAATAATCCCACACGTTTTTGTCGGTTATAAAGTATTGCCAGACCTCTCCTTACTTATTGAGTAATTTTTCTCGTTAATCATTCTTGGTAGGAATCGGTGTTCGTGATCTATCAAATCTATTGTAATGGTCGGGACGAACTTGAACATGTTGACATACGGCAGACTTCCCGGAGCGTCGGAGCTTCACATAAGCGATACTCAAGATAATTAAAAATCAAACAGGTTTATACTGTTCGTAAACAGGTGTAAACCAGTATTAATTCCAGAAATAGTTAAAAAAGTAATACAGAAATAATTTAATAAAAAAATTGCGTAATCGAGTATTATTAACATGTAGGTAATATAGAAACAGAGGTAACAACGAACCTATAAATTGGACCAATGAAACTGAATCGTAAAACTTGTTTAAGTGTTCGTCCCAGAATGCATTTATTACAGTCCAAACAATTAGTAAAGTTGACACCAACTTTCATACTTCAGATAAACGTAAGCCTTCTCTTAGATTACCTTAGAGGAGCCCTTAATATTTGGCATTGTCGCCACTCTTGGCAGGTGCATTGACGTTATTGGATTGTCTTACACTCTACTCCTTGTCGCCGGCCTACATCACGAAGAATGTAAAACATGGTTATACTGCGATATATCGAAGGCCACGAGACTTTTAGGATAATTCTCATAGTGGTCATTTCTCACACCCATGAGACGAAATGGAATGTAATGAAATGTTTAATGACAGAGCTTCTTCCGCCGCGACAATACAACATAGTACTGTAGTATAGAACATAATAGATTTCCTACCGCGATTGCCTCACATATATTAAAAGGAATATTTTAAAAGGAATTTCTAAATATTTTAAATTATTATACTCGTTTGCGTGACACGTTACCGCGGAGCGAAATTAAATGTCTGAATAATTAGGTTGCAGGTCTAGTCGGCAGTATTAATTGAGTTATAATATAAGTTCCGCAAGGTTAACTTAATGGAGCCGATTTGTGACAAGCTCGTGTGTTAAGAATTTATTAAGGAATATTAATTTTCATTTTTAATAAAGCCACCAGCCGTACAAGGAGAGAAGAGGTGTGGTAGGTCAGGGTGTTCGCTGTAAATTTCATATTACGTGGGCAGGTAGTTCGAACCCACCGACACCAATGACATTGTAGATTGCAATTTTATTGCTGATACACTTAAAAATCACGTGGTAAACTCGCAGATAAAAGAACATAATGATTCTCTTATCCGCGAGTTTACCACCTTATAGCCTACATGTATGAGAAATTAAAAACAGCATTGGGGAAACGCGTCGAACAATTAAGTTTACTTTTTATAAAGGCACCATTGTTAGTGTCATTTGTGTCTGTCATTGTGAGTATGACACCCATTTTCAATAATGTTATTTTAGGTACAAATCATAATTCTAGTAAAATCTAATTAATGAAAATTCTTAAATACTTCTAAAATATACTTGCCGATGATCAGCCTTTACACTTGAGCCGGGGCGGCGGTGTCGCCGCGTGACGTCATGATGGTATCGGCGAAACTGCGCGTGGGTTGGTGGTTAATAATTTCACAGATCAAGGTTAAAAGGAGTAAAATACCTATTGACTAGCTGCAGTATGCGAGCCTGTTGCCCAACACTACGCAGTAATAAGCAAGCCGAACGTAGAGGCAGCAAAGCGTTTGGCGTCAACTCTGGGTCATTTATCGAGAGTTTTACTGCTGATATGTAGTACTGAAGTGAAAAAGGCCATAACCCTGCAAAATGATTTTGTTACTTTGTATATATAAAATAAAAGTGAAAAACTCACACACAGTCCACCTGTTGGTAAATGGAAGCTCTGGCCCATGAACATTTACATCTATCCTCACTGTAGAATCAAAATGCAGATGCGTTGTCATATCCTCATGACTAAAATGGAATGCCTCGTTTCCAGTAAAAAGGGTCTTCGGTTCACTACACTCACAATTAGCATAAACAGCGCGAAAAACAACAGCTTTAAGCTGTTTTGCCGTGGTATTCCGTGAGAGGGTGGTTCTTCCCCAGTCAAGTCCACCCATTCGTGCTACAGCCTTATTATGGCTACAGCCTGCAGCGTGGCTTTACCACGTATAAAGCCAGCTTAAATCTTCACAACCATACATGTTAAAGAATGTAATAGAAAACTATCTACTAGATTTAAAATGTAAAAATAACAACAGAAGACACTATACATTAAATTGCTTCAATTACATAAGATTTGTATTTTGTACTGTTTTAGTAATATATTACAAAATACAAGAATCATTAAAATTCAAATTACCGTTAAATTAAAAAAAATCTCTCCGGGCAGTACATGTAGGGTTTTATTTATAACACTTTCTTTGTTGTTAGTCACGAATCATACTTATAACGAAAGTTTATAATATTAGCCACACTACTCAATGATAATTTAACAATGCACTGAGACAATAAAACTTCGGGTATCGGCGCCATTTTTACGTTTCGTCAACTTTAAACCTCAATTTATAGGTAAAAATGTGCACGTGTTCCTAAGAATTATATTCATGAAAAATTTTCAAATTACGTATTCATCTATTAATTCACTTTTTAATACTTTTCGTTTTTCTTCGTCAGTTAGTATCCTTGTGTATTTTATTACTAGTTTAGTCTACTGAGGACACTATACCGTTGTGATAAAAGAGATAGAGAGCTTCGGAACATAGATAGAGCTAAAACAGGTAAGCGATATCATATAATATCCTGTCCGTATCGCTTACGCATAGAGCTAATGGACGAGCAAAAATGGCTATACTTTCGTAATTTGGTATGCGTAGCGCTCCCGGATGACTCGGTAGGGTGCCACTACACGTTCTGCACCATCATTCAATTTTATTTTAAATAATTCTAACACCAAATATTCATGAAGATTTCTCGGAAATTTCATAAATTGTATTTCAATGTCAGCAAATGATATTGAATGGTAAGACAATTCAAAATTGGAATAGACTAAAGTAAGATAAATCATCTATTCAAAAAAAAAACTTCTGAATACGCAACATTATATTAAATAATAATAAGACATACATGAACGAAAATATTCCCTGGGAATGAGGTGATCGATACCATGTTGGTGCTACTAGAATTCATTTGAATAATTGTGCCAAATTATTGTAAAATTATGTAAGTCTAAAAAAAACCCCGTTGGGTTTCTTCCTGGTTCTTCCCAGGACAAAACAGTGGTAAACAAAAAATGACTATCAACAGGTATTGTAATAATCCATATTGAATAAAATATTATTCTATTGTATTATTTATTCTTACCTCTTTCTTTGAACCAGTTACCGTAGATTTGATAATGTTCCCAGTTCTTCGGTTCAAGCTCTAGTAACTTGTCTAATATATCTCTTTTGTCTTCTTGCGGTGCTACCAATAACAGTTCTAAGTACGCATGTACGAATCTTGGCTCAAGTGATATACATCTCTGTAGCATCTTTATTGACTCATTTATTTTGTTCTTTTTTCTATATAAAATATAAATAAATATTAATAAAAATGAACCGATGTGTCAAGGTAAAAAATGTTGTATGATTTTTTTAACCAAAAAACCATCCTAGTCATTCAGCAAGAAAATGTGACAAGTAGGTAATATTTTATCCTTTATTACAAATTTGTTTTAATTGTAGTATTTTAAATAAAAATAGTACATATTCTTATATCACGCCTGACATAAAAAAACTCTATCATAAAATTCAAAAATTATTATTTTTGGCAATAAATATTGAGTCCCCTTTAAATTCAAGTTCAAAACAATAACCTAATTGACTACCAGTATACATATTATGAACAGCTGACTTAAACTAAGTAACCATAGTTCCATTATCATGTCAAAAAAATTTCTCAAACGGAACTTCAATTTTTGTGAATGAAGTGCACCTGCCACGTACCTGTAAAGTTTCGCGAGGTTGTAATGTGCATTAACATGATCTCGATTATACTTAAGCGCTTGTAAGAAGTGATGCTCAGCGCGGCCTGATTCTACGACTAACGTTCCAAGATTGTTGTGAGCGCTGGCGTAACTTGGCCATAATCTAAGTAGGAAAAAAAATCCTTTAATTAACATCCATTCCATTTTAATTTCTTTTTAAAATGAGAAACAAAGGTTACTTTCGAAAATAAAAACATAAAATGCTTAGTATTCCGGAGTTTGTGTTTTTTATGAATGCAGTTTCAAATAAAGTAATATTAGTTACCAATTCCAGCGTTGTTTTTGTAATACTTTAAATTATAACTGAAAACCTTTAATTTTCATCTTAAAATTAAATAAAAAGTCGCAATCTTAAACTTTTTCTGTAAGCTACATTAAAATACGTCACAGATAAATGAATTTCACAGGTGTACTAAACAAAGATTTATGAAATTTCAAGAGAAACTTACTTTAAAGCTTCTTTGTAGTGTTTGATAGCACTTTCTTGTTGCTCAATATCTTTCAAAAAGTTAGCAAAGTTATAATGCAGTTTAGCATTATGCGGAAGAACAGCCAAGTCAGCTCTGAAATTAGTTTATTCAAAAGTAATTAAAAGTGTTGCTTACGCCTTGATTAAGATGTTAGAAGATCCACACCACCTTCTCAGCGAGTAAAAAAAAGAAACTATAGAAGCTAATCTTGTACCGTTTAAATCAAATCAAAGTTATTTAAAATTTCATAGAAGTTTGGTGACATCATTGATAGTGCATGCTGTAAATCATAATGCAGATGTATTCCTACTCCCGATGAATTTACACTATGAAATAACTCGTCACCAGTAAAAAAAATATATTTTTCTTTTCTTCTTTCACGTACCATACGAAACAGATGCGCTACTATTTTACGCTGGTATTTTGTGTCAGAATTTATTTATATAGCATAAACGTTTAAATAAACATTTAAATTTACCATCGAGATAAAGATAAAATTATTTAATATTTTATAGTATAGTAAATACATATAGTTTATGTATTTTTATAAAATGTGTTACGGTCTACGGCTGCTCCCATAAAGGTTCAATCCTCCGGGGCCCATCAACGGAGTTTCAACGAAGAGACGTAGTTCGGGCCTCCTAAGGCCAAAGTCGAAAGTCTCTAATTACAATAAACAATAAGGGGGAGCGTTCTATACTACTGCCATTCAACAGGGAGAATATTAAACCGAGCTTACTTACCTATATCCAAGGCGACTAGTCCCTCAGGATTCGGTCAGGTCGCATGTGGTTGTGTGGTGCAAGAGAAATAAGGTGCTGTGATGTGTATCTGGGTGTGACTGGTGGTGATTGACCTTATTAGACCTTTGCCGTCGGCAGCAGCCCGGACGTCAGCACCGCTTCAAATTGAGGTAATCTTCCGCGGCGCCGTCCACAGTCACTTTCTTCGTTCGTCACGATGACAGTCCCTTAACTCTATCGTACGATTAACTAACATGCAGAAGCCACTAACTCTCGTTTGTTATAAAGCTTAACACACAAAACGAACATGGAGTGTCCGGAACAAAGGTCACTACCGTTTCGCGTGGCAACAGTTATTTCTAGGATATCAAAGGCCGCACTAGCTAATATTGTCGAATGCACTTATACAGATTCTGAGTCGGACACAATAAGTCCCGGGAAAGGCTATCCAACAAGGAATGCGCGTTAGAAATTCTAGACAGTATATTTACTAGACGCCTAAACTATTCCGCGTTTCCTGCACAAAAATTGACAGCGTGCTGACGTTAGCACAGCTGGCAGACAACTCGTGTGCTCGCGTGCCCTCGACACATCCAAGCTAGCCCGAACGTCAAACCGGTATGGCACCGAGCCGCGCACCCTCTGACGTCGATTCCAAAACCAGCGTTCGGGCGTAAACAAAATAAAAAAGGATGTAATCGATTAGTATACAGATTTAACTGTGTTTTTATTTCTAATTCTAACAATTTATTTATTTGCAAGAATACATAATTATGTAAGTACCTATTTATATATTATGATAGTAATTTTAAACCAAACTTCAAACCAAATCATTTGCTATAGAAGAAAAAAAAACAATGCATTAATTTATTACGTTGATATCGTGTTTCTTTTTTCAATTATATAAACTGATTATTTCGCAGTGCACCTAAATATTTTTTTTTTCATGTTTTATTGATAAAGTAAATTAGTTTAAATTTTAATAATAATACAATTACTTCACATGAAAATAATAAACAAGGCACTACATACATCTCACACACCACTGGACACCTGCTCCTCACGAATATTATATTACAAAAAAGTTTACATCATGATAACTTTAAGTTATATTTGTTATTACTACATTTCTACATTATTATCTTATTTATTTTAATTAGTAGTTAGTTAGGCATAAAATAATAAACCTGGGTAAACAACTATCAAATTGGGAGTAGTAGGTAGGTAGGTGAACACTACATATACTCGTAGAAACATTTAAGACTATATACAGAAATAAACGTTCTTATTTAAACTTTATTAGCACATACCTAATAAGAGTCTCTCTATTTCTCCAATCACAGTTCCGGAGCTGTGTCCGTGCAGCTCCACTGGCGACAAGAATAGCAACCCCTATCACTATCAACCGCTTTCCACGTACAGTTCTCCGCCACATCAGTTGAATGCCATATACGGTTATCAACACCAATCCAACGCTGTAAAACAACTTTGTAAATATATATCGAATCTTAGTTGATAATGCTAGCGATAAAAAAAAATTACAAAAGCTACAGCCTTTCTCTCCTCTTTTTGTACCTCTCGTTTGTGTGAGGGTTATGGAGCAATCATTAGTTTAACTCCACCGCGGCGCAGTAGATTAACACTGATTGCGTTGCTCAAGGCCACGGGATCGAATCCCACACGGAACAAGCATTTGTATCGCCTAAAAATATTTTTACTGGTCTGGATGTTTGTCCTTGTGTTATTTATGTATGTAAACTGCCTCCATGATACGGGGGAAAATACCGAGTGTGGGTAACTCATTTTTTTTTAAAAGTACACCGCTCCAGTGCGTGTTGGCGGACTTTCAATATTTTATAAATGGTAGCGATGAATTTTTCATAATTGTTTAAGCAAGCGATAGTAGCCTGATGCTTAAGAGTAGACTTTAAAAATATAAAGTCGTCGGTCGTAATATTATGCTTAAATACTCAAAATTATTGGATTCAGTTAATGACAAATAATAAATAAATAAACGTTATTCAGTAAATTCCTAGTATTATTTACATTTTTTTTATTAACGCTATGTGATTCAAATATATTATGTATTCTTTTTTATTCACCTTTTATTCTTTTTTCTTTATTGAACACAAAACTTGACATATATATGACAAAAAATAATAAGTGCATGTGTTGTACTTTCATATTCAATAATAAAAATAAAAACAAGGACAAAAATCTTTCTATTTAATTTAAAAATGAATTTGGCATAATTTAATTCTTCTAAAAGCAATCGATAAAAATGTTGTATACCTGGGTATGTACAAAACTCTCTCAGCGACAACGAAGCCAACTGTCACAAATAAATTGGAAGCGGGTAGGTATGGGAACACAAGTAACATCAATCCAACGACAGCGGGCGTGTGACGTTGTACCTAAAATATTTGAAAAAAGAGGGCCATATATAATAAAACGAAGTCTTATGTTTGTAGATTTAATAGGTATATTTATTTTTATACATATTTTCTTAACTGATTGCTATCTCCCTAGCACATACAATTAATATATAAATTATATTATATTTATCCTTATTTTTATAGAAGACCTTATAGGCCTTCTCCAAGGAATGCCACAAAACATGGTCCTGAACCACCTGCATCCATTGACTTTTTGCATATTAATATATAAACTATTTTATATTCCTCATTTTATTTTTACTTTTTTATACAAACATAGTATAAGTAAATTACTAACAAATGGGTTTGGCTCTTCATCTGAAATAAACATTGTTAATATTATATGTCCCATCTTGGTCTGAGATTTAAATATCCTATGTTTATGTGGTCATCATAGTAAAAAAGACTGTACCAAGTGTTTTACTTGCTTAGCAAGTCGTAAAACGTAAGTAATGAGATATTGGGTTTGGGATTGTGTAGGTGATGGGCTAGATAGCTATGACTTCTTTAACAATTTTGTATACAGTGCAGTGGTCTAAGTATCTCATCTCTCTTTGAACTCCGAAAAACCCTCTCGGAGATTACAGAAGAGATGCAATAATGATTTTTTATACAGAAGTAAGTGTGACGAAGAAATCTACGAGTCCATCGAATGGTAAGTGGATGCTGTAGCCCATAGACACTTACATCTATCTTTGATTAAAAATCAAAAATCAAAATGTAGATGCGTCGTCGATACTAAGAACCAACATAGAATGCATCGTTACTAGTTAAAATATTTCTGGATCTCTACACATCACATCAACTTTATGTTGTTCAACTTGGTATTCTGTGTGGTCATTCCCTGGTCAAGCCTGGAACGCCTCGTTATAAGTGAGTTTCAATCCTCAATCATAGTGATTGACGAAACATATCAACATTATGCTGCTACTTTCCTATGGTATTATTTGCGGGCGTGGCCTTTCTTTGGAGCTGTACTATTAGTGCTACAGCTATAATACGATGCAGCGTTGTTCTACTGCGTTGAACAATATAAATATATAACTATGTATTTTTACTAATTTGTTAAAAAATTTGCGCAAATAAAAAAGTTACTAAAAAAATAATACTGTAATTGCTTTAAGAAACCATATTGTTTTATCACCATTATCATTATTCCAGGATCACAAGACCACTGCTGAACATAGGTCTCCTTCAAGGAATGCCACAAAACACGGTCCTGAACCACCTGCATCCATCGGCTATCTGCACCTATTACTTGGTCTTCACTCCACCTATTTTGTTTCATAGATAAGGCAAAGTTTCGCCAAGTATTAAAATGCAAATAATAAAACTTAGATAGTGATAAAATGGAACCACAATGACAAAATATTTGAATCTGCGTTTCCCTGAGGGTTGCACTATTTTCATAACCTACAAATATTTTTGCTATGTCTGTTTATTCATATACAATTTATGTACAAAAATGCATACACTATACAGAATAAATTCCTAGTGCGGATAGTACCTTTTTTCAAGATTTTTTCTTATAGGATCGGGTGACAAACGAGCACTCAGTCCACCTGATGGTAAGTCGTTGCTGTGACCCATAGATAACTACTACTAAATCTGCATCTTGAGTCTTTATTGAGGATAGATGTAGATGTCTATGGGCACAGTAACCACTTACCATCAGGTGGACAGTGTGCTCATTTGTCACCCTATCCTATAAAAAGAAAAATTATACTCAATAAAGAATGAAAAAGCAGATGCGTTGTCACCCGTGAGGACTAAGATGGAATGCCTATTTTACAGTAAAAAGAGTATCCGGTTCTTTACAGTTACCATACGAAACACAGCGGTGTTAAGCTGTTATTTTACGCTGGTATTATGTGAGAGCGTGGTCCTTCCCCGGTCGAGCCGACCCATTCGTGCTACAACTATACTACTAATATAGCTGCAGCATGGCTCTACCACGTAAAAGATAAGAAAATTTTGTACCGCCAAGTCCATTAAACAGCAATATGATATCGCTAATAGAGCGATTAAAACTGTTACAGTAATCAGGTTTCGCGGATCCCATCCACTGGTCACAAGTGAAATGGATCCCATCTGCCAGTCGTGACTCAGCGTCCAAGGGCATATCAGCAGCCAACAATTGAACGCTGCCAGATAACTAAACGTCATTAACCTGCAAAACAATGATATTTTAGAGAAACAACGTATTTAAAAAATTTCTTGAATGATAGATTTTTTATAGGATTGGTGACAAACGAGCACACAGTCCACCTGATGGTAAGTGGTTGCTGCGACCCATAGACATCTACCTACATCTATCAGCAATAAAGAATCAAAATTCAGATGCGTCGACATTCGTGAGAACTAAGATGGAATGCCTCTTTTCCAGTAAAAGGGGTCTCCGGTTCTCTACAATCACTATAAATTTAAAGAAGAATATAAGAAGTGCTGTTACGGTTACAGCAAACATCAAAAATTCACCGGTGTATAAAGGCCTTCCCCATAGATTGCATCCCATTGTGTGTATTTGCCATAGTTTTAGCGCTTGGCAAGCGAGCAGTTTGGTAACCGAGAATTCTTACATTTTAATTGTTATTACGAAGACGCTGCTGCACATCTCCTGTTTTTTCCCTCTCCCGTCTCCTTCGACACCCACGGTATGATATAGGTTCGTGGAATTTGTACATCACCGCGGTCTGAGTTGTCTAGGTATAAGTTGTACTAGTGTCTCAGTTAACCACTTCAGTCTTATGCTTATAAGCTTAAAATACTTGTTTTGGTATTCGTAGTTCACGACAGTAGTCGAATGACAGATTTGAACCCACACTCTCAAAGTTTCTTTTTTGTACCCTTAACCATTAGGCCGGCATCTTAAAAGTAAATCGCAGCAAATGAGTTGTTATAAGAGGCGACAAAGGGAAACTTAAACAGGAGATGGGCAGTAACATCTCCTTTATAACAACGTAAAATAATAAAACACTGCTGTTGACAACTCAACTGCTAAGAGTGGAAACTTTTGCTAAATCCCCCCTATGAGGCAATTTAGGAGACGATCTATATTCAGTAGTAGACTTTTGAATGGCTGTAATTAATGACAATAGTATATATAAAGCAGGAATTCTAAATATTCACGTAAGTGTTCTTTTTCTTTGCTAATGGACTCGTACGGATATGCCACAGTTGTACTTATAACGGTGTCAATTAATAAAAATAATTTGTTTAAATCTTCTTCACAGTGTGTTGATGTGACGCACATCGCAACATTTTCGGGAGTTTTTAACGACAGCTTCAACCAGCAGAGAGTCGATGAAGATAACACCTATCTCAAGGCGTCATAATAGACAGAATAACTTAAGGTTCACAGATCGTAAGAGCACATGTTTCACCGTTTCCACTAATAGTTCACATGCGCAGATATTATTAATACACAAACTCGCACCACTTTTATGTGATCAAATCTGCATTAACAATTATTTACAAAATAAGACAGGAGCGACAATCCGCTGGTCATCAAGTTCCCGCCAAAACCCATCATGTCCGTTATTAAAGATTTTTTTACATATTAGAAAACATTTAGTTTAATCATATACCTAACGATATATGACGGATGAAATGCCGGTGGGTTGTCTTGTGGCGAAAATGTTGGAAGTGATCCTTGCAGCATTGCTATTCTGAATATTGCCAATAAAGCCAACGCGCCAACGCTGCGAGCAACGCGGCTATATATGCTATCTTCTTTCCAACGACATCTTATAGGCGATGACCTGTGCAACAGATTAATTCCGACATAGTATTTAAAGTTAAGGTACCGTACTTTACCATGTAATGGCGGTGTAAGAATATCCACTGCCCCATATCGTCCCAATGGAGTCATAAGAGAAGATAGAGGGAAACACTCCTGATTTTATTCCACTGCACTATCTCCGTCACCACTAATCCCAGCAACGCTATCACAGTCATCATCACACACAAAGAAACAGGGTTCGTATTATCGATGGTGTTATGTCTATCCTAGAGTAGTGGTGTTGGGAGTAGTGGTGCTGGTATTAGTGGTGGTGGGGATTAGTGGCGACGGGGATAGTGCTCGCGATTGAGGGATGGCGGGAGGTGCTCTAAAACTAGGTTAATTGTGTGGTTCTTGTAACTTAGTCAATAAATTTTTAACTTCTTTAATTATTTTTTCAATGTTAAATAATATAACTGTCACGTGACTTAAAGTTGATTTCATTATAGTTTTCTATGAGCGTTAACGATTTTAGAATGTCAATATGATTAGCTCCACTGTTACTGCTAAACTGTTTACAGGTGCGGTGATTGTGGCAGATTATCCCAACATTGAAAGGATGGAATCCTGAATTGGGCATTTAGACAAAAATGGAGAAAAAAGAAAAAATATAGATTTTTAAAAGAAAAAAGGTGACAAACGAACACAGTCCACCTGATGGTAAATGGATGCTTTAGCACATAGGCTCTACATTTACCCATGAGAGTGATTTATCCTTCAAGAGTTAAAATGCAGATGCGTTGTCACTTTTGATGACTAAGATGAAATGCTTCGTTGCCAGTAAACGAAATGCAGAAGCAATAAGCTGCTATTTTATGCTGGTATTAGTACTAGAGTTCCTACCCTGGTCGAGCCGACCCATTCGTGCTATAACCACAATATAGCTGCAGCGTGGCCCTATCATATATAAAGTTATCTTAAAATAATTACCGTCTTATAGATCCCCAGTAGCGGTACAAATCGAAGACTACATTAAATAGCAGTGCAGTCAGTCCAGTTTCCTTGGCTAACATGCTAAGCGCTGCCAGTAGCACACTCGCCCACACTCGTAGTTTACCTGATGTCCTATAATCAAGTACATTATCATGATTTCAATGCTTAAAGCATTATGTGTGCTATTGATTGCTCTTACTTTTCTTCCTACTTTCTATTTCTTTAATCTATTGAGGAAAGTCAGATTTTGCCAAAAAAGTACGACATTCAAGGCATATTCAATGCCGTGTTAGCTCCAACCCTTAGGTATGGTAGTGAAAGTTGGGTGCGGCAGCAGAAACATTACAGCATAATCAATGCTGTAGAAAAGCGGTTATTAAGAAGCGTTAAGATGACTCTGAATGATAGGGAGAAAAATTGTGTAATAAGAATAAAGTGACTTTTGCAAGAAGATGTTGTAACCAGGAGTTTGACAAGTGTATAAAAATTTTATACAAACGACTTCAGTTAAATTAAGTCGAAGTCAATTAAATACACATTATTAAGTATTACTGAAAAACTACTGGCCAGATCTTGATCAAATTTATATGAGACTACACTAGAAGCACCAGCTTTCAATTAAAGAATATATCATCAAAATTGGTTCACCTAAAAAAGTTCTGAGGTAACATACAAAAAATACAGATGAATTGAGAACAACATCCTTTTTTGAAGTCAGTTAAAAAAAGAATGCTCCGAAGCTAGGTATATAAACGTTGATAGAATGAATGAGGAAAAGAAAGTGACAAAGAAAACTTATGCCGCTGAAGTGAGTGGCACTGTCGGCATAACACTAGACCAAATTGGTGAACAGAACAGAACAGAACAGAAACTTTTTTATTCAATATAGATTATAAATAATACTTATTGAAAGTCACTCTTTTGTTTGATTACCACTGGTTCGGAAAAAACCTCGGTGATACTATATTATATTGAATATGGTCCAAGTTAAGAGTACCCTTAACTGATGAGTATGTATGCGTAAATAGATGGATGCGAAAGAAGTAAAATTAAATTTTGAAAGCCAATAAATTCAAAAAAATCTTTTTTTTTATAGGATAGGGCGACAAACGAGCACACAGTCTACGTGATGGTAAGTGGTTGCTGTGACCCATAGACATCTACATTTATACTCGTTTGCGAATCAAAATGCAGATGCGTTGTCACCTGTGAGGACTAAGATAGAATGCCTCTTTTCGAGTAAAAAGGGTCTCCGGTTCTCTACACTCACCATACGAAACACAGTAGCATGAAGCTGCTATTTGACGCTGGTATTCTGTGAGAGCGTGGTCCTTCCCCGGTCAAGCCGACCCATTCGTGCTACAACTATACTACTAATATGCTATGCTACTAATATAGCTGCAGCATGGCTCTACCACGTTGAAAATATTAAATACAAAAAATAAATATTAATCACATTAAAAAGCTAAAATCATTTTTATTATTGATATATTGGTATAAATATATTAAAGAATTTCGGAAACATTTCGACCCTTCAAAAAAACGCACCTAGTTTATAACTCCAAACATGTCAAACAACTTAGTAAGAACATTAACAAACTATTGCCAAGTGTCCAAATGATCCCCTCTAACAATTTTAAGAGGCAAGATTAAACATACAAGGAAATCGATTCCGCAAAAGTCACTGCTATTTCAGTACTTTCAAGTTTCATATTGCTTAACTATCTAATAAAATATGTATCATTTTAAATGTACTTATTGTTATAAGAACATATTACAATATACAACTTAAAGCTAAAAATAAAATTATACCCTATGTTACTTACACAACTAAGACAAATCTAACGACACCCAATATGTTAATATCCATCAATCCGTTTAGGCTACAGAGCGTGTCCAAGAAATAGACATACAAACATACATACATACGTACTCTCGAAAAAAAATTACCCCTGTTTCTGAGGCAGTCGGGTAATAAATAAAGTTAATCTCGCAGTTACAGTAGGACCAATATTGTGAACATAGAAAACGAAACAAATATATAACACATATGTACTTATTTTATCGCAGTTTTCCACAAAAACTAACATTCGACTGAAAACAAATCCGAATTAATTTTTTGACATTTAGCTTAAACGTCTTACTGATTTATATTAGTCAACTTACCCGTGATATAGAAGGAGGGATGAAAGAAATAGGACGCAAGCGAGCACGTCCGCTCGTCCCACAACACCCGATACCTGAAAAAAAATTAAAACTATAGTAATTGGTCGAAAGCGTGTAACAAATTTTGATGCTAACAAAAATCGGCTAAAAGGTATTTTAGCCGATTTCAAAAAAGACAGGAAGTTTTTATTTTGACGGAATTTTTGTTTGTTATGAAATTAGATACATATCAATGTTGGCCCTACTATGGGGGCAACCGTTATAACTTGAAAAAAAAAAATTTCACCTCTAAAGGTAGAAAAATAGGAAATCAAAGTTTTTATGTGACTTGACGATATACTAGTAGTGATCACGACATTGTAATATTGCTTGGTTTTTTTTATAGTAAAGGTTGACAAACGAGCTCACAGTTCAACTGATGCTAAGTGGTTGCTGTGGCCCATAGACATTTACATTTATCCTCGTTTGCGAATCAAAACGCAGATGCGCTGCCACCCCTTTGGACTAAGATGGAATGTCTCGCTTCCAGTAAAAGGGCTCTCCGGTTCTCTACACTCACCGTACGAAACACAGCAGTGTTAAGCTGCTATTTAACGCCGGTATTATGCGAGAGCGTGGTCCTTCCCCGGTCGAGCCGACCCATTCGTGCTACAACTATACTACTAATGTAGCTGCAGCATGGCTCTACCACGTATAAATTATTGGTCCACTCAAAAGGGTCGAATATTAAAACTATATAAAATAACAGCGGGCAAAGCATGTGGTGAATTTGTAATTAAAATTGCAATTCACAATCCCGGCGTTGCCCGAGGGGTACGCATTCGGGTTGCTTGAGTAAGTTCTGTGAAATTTACGACCCTGAACCACTACGACTGTTGTAAATTAAATAATTTTAATATTGTAATTAGCTAAAATATAATTATTAGGTAATCAATAATAGAGGTCTATATATAACATCAGATAATGTTGAGATTTCACTCTGAGTTATGTATAAAAGTACAAAAGGACATTCTATACGCCTCACTGTTGAACACGGTCTTCTTATTTTTGAGGACGTTATGAAGAATTTAGTCTGACGTAGATATACAGGTTTTCTCACGATGGTAACCTTCACCGTTGAGCACGTGGTAAATCAGCAGTAATAATTTTTATAGAATAATAGACAAACGAGCTCACAGTCCACCTGATGGTAAGTGGATGCTGTGACCCATAGATAATTATCCTCGATTAAGATGTGCTGTCACCCCTGAGGACTAAGATGGAATGCCTCGTTTCCAGTAAAAAAGGTCTCTGGTTCTCTACACTCACCATAAGAAATACAGCAGCATTAAGCTGCTATTTTACGTTGGTCATCTGTGAGAGCGTGGTCCTTCCCCGGTCGAGCCGGCCCATTCGTGCTACAACTACAGCTGAAGCGTGGCAAAAGTTTCACTGGTAATTGCGGGGCGTGAATCCTGGTTTCGAGCGTACTGTGAATTTACGGCTAGCGCTTAGAACCTGTATTTTAATTAAAGAATAATTTATAGTAGTTATTCTTATAAAATAACTATTATATATAAATAAAATTGAAGTATCAGTCTGTAATATAGAAATCCGGATTAATCTCCGGAATGACTGAACCGATAAAACTTCACGAACAGATGCCAGGAGTAAGTAAATCTTAGTAACGCCACACTGCCCTGGTGAATCCGGGGCTTTTCGCCAGTTAATTAAAAAAGCATACTAGCTTTCCAGTATTATTTAAAGCATCAGCATATTAAATATGTAATGCTAAATATGTAGGTTATGCTAAAATATGGGATGCTTTAATTAATAAATATGATTATATTTTTAATAAATTAATTACATTATTCAAAATGGGAAGATCACGTAGAAGGATCATATACAAAATTATTTTGATCACGTCGAGTATAATTAGTTTGTGCAATATGCTGAGAATATTACATTATGGCTGACAAAGATAGCTGGCGTGACAACAGCCGAGAGTTGGCAGTTTATATAATTGGAACGATCCTACACATACTGCCAGTAATTAACGGTAAATGAAGCTGAAAGTTAATTTGTTACGTTTGCGGACAGGCTAACGCTTATTGTTTATTATTTCGTACAAAATTTGGAGGATTATTTTGGTGGAATGGTTTCTACTAAAAATATTTCTTTATGCCTTATCCTATTTTCTTATTCTGTAATGCCTATCTATTCAGAAACGTTTACGTGGTAGTGCGTTCATCCAGCTTTGTTACGGTTGTAGCACGAATAGGACAGCTGAACCGGGAAATGACCACGTTTTTACAGAATACCAGTGTAAAATAGCAGCTAAATGCTGCTGTTTTTCATATGGTCAGCTTAAAGAAACGGAGACCCAGTATCTACCTACCATCAGGTGGACTGTATACTCGTTTGTGATTCTTATTCTATAAAAGATTCTAACGAGGATACGCACTCAACAACTCACCAAAATTTCTTTCGTAATCAAGGTCGTTGTAGACGGTGCATTCTCCTACTACAAGCCTATAAACGCTGGTGTTCCACAAGGCTGCGTGCTATCACCAACGCTGTTTCTTCTGCGTATCAATTATATGTTGCGAGCCGGTAGCATTCATTGCTATGCGGATGACAGCACTGGTGATGCTCTATACACCGGCCGTGACAATATTTCTCGGGAAAACGTCACCGAGTACCGGAACAAACTTGTGTCTGAAGTCGAGTCTTTGCTGGACAAAGTCTCGGATTGGGGGCGACTAAATCTAGTCCAGTTTAATCCTCAGAAGACACAAGTTTGCGCGATTACCGCTAAAAAGAACCCCTTTGTCGTATCTCCTCAGTTTCAAGGTACTCCCCTTGTTGCCTCAGCCAGTATCGTAATACTCGGCGTCGACATATCGAGTGATGTGCAGTTTCGTGGTCACTTCGAAGAGAAGGCCAAATTTGCCTCTAAAAAGCTTGGCGTGCTCAGCAGAGATGGACAGTATTTCATGCCAGCTCAACGCCTGCAGCTTTTCAAGGCGCAGGTTCGGCCTCACATGGAATACTGTTCCCGTCTCTGGGCTGGGGCTCCCCAGTGCCAGCTCGTTCCACTTGACCGCATCCAGCGCAGAGCGGCTCGAATCGTCGACGACCGAGTCCTTTCCGATCGGCTCGACTCATTGGCACTGCGAAGAGATGTTGCATCTCTTTGCATTTTCTTTCGCATTTACCATGGGGAGTGCTCTGAGGAATTGTTCGGATTAATCCCAGCCGCCAAATTTCACGAACGCACATCGCGGCAGAACTCCCGATACCATCTACACCATCTGGATGATTGGCGGTCCACCAGTGTGCGATTTAGAAGATATTTTCTTCCTCGCACAACTTCCTTGTAGAATAGTTTACCACCAGCGATTTTTCCGGACCGATACGACTTAGAGACCTTCAAGAAAAGAGCCTACTCCTTTTTAAAAGGCCGGCAACGCATCTGCAATTCCCATGGTGTTGCGGTTGTTCATGGGCGGCGGTAGTCACTTACCATCAGGTGAGCCGCATGCATGTTTGCCCCCTCTCCTATAAAAAAAATCAGATACACGCATAGACAAATATTTTTTTTTCATTTGCAAATAGTATAAAAAGATTAAGTAATGTAATATCCTAAATACATTCTACTATTGGGCACAAGTTTACTCTTATTTGTGAGAAAGTTTTTGGAGCAGGAAATTGAATGTCATTCTACACCAACATTAAAAAAAATTGATATTTTTATTCTAGTGGAAATGGGAATGCGATTACAAATGCCATGCAGATGAATGATCGTGATCAGTTAGAGAGGGCTCCTTCACATCAGTTTATTTATTTTAAGTTAAAACTGTTGCCGTCTATCACGTCTCCTGCTGAACATAGGCCTCCCGAATACATTGTATCACAGGGCGGATATATGGCATAGTTGCCACGTTTGGCACGTGAGTTGGGAAGTAAATTAAATGTCGAATTGAGCTCTTTATTGTGGTTGTGATAATATACAAGTTTTGATACTTTGTAACAATCACAGAAATTTTTAATTTTGGTTTTGTTTATGGAAATCACCATAAGGTTTCTAAGCAATTTATCTGTTAATCTTCTTAGTAGAAAATTCATCGGCCTCTTTTATTGCTTGGTTCAATTGACGAAGATAAAGCCTAACATACATACAAAAAATAATACATTCAAATTTAGTTTCTTTTGTATTTAAACCTTAATTTTTTTGTATTTAAAATACCTATAGCATAAAATTTCTATGTAGTTTCAAAGTAACTAGAGCTATAAACTCGAGTGAGAGCCCACGTACTCAGCGCTAACGTGACTACTTAAGTGGTGAGTAAACTTACGAACGTACTACGCGCAATTTCGCTCAACAAAGGCATAACTTGATCCCGAGAAACTCGATTCCCCGTGGAAGTAAGTCGCCGTTCACGTATTCTAAGTTATTGTTCAATGTTCAAGAATGATTTATGTTTTATGGACTTTGCATCTTAATAATACTTACAAAATCAATTACATCATTATGAATTAATATAATATAAACAATAAAATTATAAGTAGCAGGTATTCTGTACATTTTATATCATTATAACAAAAATTATTGAGAGGGGGGATGAGTCGCTCACGTCCGTAGGCTTCGACCACCTAATCCTAGGCCCACCTTACACGTGTCCCCCGGGTGGTGCTAAACGAGCGACAAAGCCGAAACGACAGACTCGGCTTCTCGCCGTATGGTAGAGGCGTAAAATCTACCACTTCTTAGTTCGCACCATGAGCCAAGTAGAAAAAGAAATGGCCCCGAGTTCCCGGCGCCCCTTTAATGGGGTAGGGGTGCGAAGAATCTCCGGGAGAAAAACCGGCGACGAGGTTCGCCACCCGTCACGTCCTGTCTCCCGGGGGGCGAAAAGTGGATTGCGGAGGCCCGTCTAGCTACGCTGAATGTATGTAGAGCAATGAATGATAAGATGGATGAAGTATGCGAAATGATGAATGATAGAGGAATAGATGTGTTATGTGTGAACGAGACGAAACGAAAGGGAAGAGATGTCACTGCACATGGCATGTATACCGCTTACTGGTCTGG